TTGCCTTTCAAGAGAGAGAAGCGAAAAGCAAGGCGATGCCGATGCTGTTCCCCCTAGGCGTGGGAGTGAGGGTGAAAAAAGAAGTTGTGTGCAAAGCGATGCTGTTCAATGCATGTGTTTGCGGTAAGCTGTGAGCCTGCGGCGCGGTGCAGAGCTTTCTTACAGCTTACCTAGAAAACACAGTTGAACAGAAAAGAACAACACACAACTAGCGTTCTCTAGTTAACACTTCACTACGTCGGTCTCGCTCTTTTTTCCGCGAAGGTTGCTCAGAAGCTGCTGTGCGAGGCAGTGTTTGCCTTTCAAGAGAGAGAAGCGAAAGGCACGGCGATGCCGATGCTGTTCCCCCTCTTAAGTGCTTCCTGAGCAACCTTTTGCGGAACTTAGCCCCTCACCGTCGCGAGGTTCTCAGGAGCCAAGAGAAACCGCAGCGTGCGGCAGGTACCTGTGCGATCAGGAGTGAAGAGTAGTGTGAGTACGGCGACACTCTGACCGAAGAGCGGCAAAGCATTCTTTCAAAGCAGGAATTTTGAAGCGTCAGAGACAAAGAAGCTGTTTGAGCATGGCTCACTGAGCCTGGGTGAGACGATCCGGCCAAGCGTGGCCACTTTCATGCAAAGTGACGCAGTCCGATGCGGATGCGAGCTGTGACAGAGTCAGTCGGACTCTGTCTTTTGTGCGATGCGACAGGAATGCTGTGGTCCCGCGGCTGAGCTTGTCGGCCCAGTCGTTTTTGGAGCCCGCTAGGTGCTCAACTTCAAACTGCACACGGTGCACATGCGCCCACGTTGCGGCGAGGCGCAGGAAAGTGCAAAGAGGCTCTGCAGTGCTGAAGAGCTTGTTCAAACCGCTTTCAGCGCTGGTGTTGTCTGATGCGGAGGGCAACACAAAACGCACATGCTTGCTGCGGAGGCATTGCCAGGAGCATTGCGCGAGCGCTAGCTGTGCCCAGGCCTCGAAACAGCCAATGTATGGCTGTAGCGAGTCTTGCAGTTGAAATTGCGTTTGCACTTGCTCTGCGGTGAAGATTTCACTGAACCAGATGAAAGAAGAGGAAGCGCTGAGCCAGCCCCCAATGCCCATGCAGTGGGTATCAGCGAATGCACTGCTACAGCGCGAGGCTGCTCGTGCGTAAAGCATTGGCTCAGCCATGCGAGCACGAATTTGCTTTCCTGACACAAGTGGATTTCTGATCTATGCGGATCTGCAAGGCGGATCCACTGGTGCTTGTGCGAGGGCGGCACTAAAGGAACATGACTTTTGCTCTTGATTTTGATACTTCCAACTTCGAGAAGCTGTGCATTGCGTGGCAACCAACTCCTCAAGGAGTTTTGGTGAGCTTGGCTTCAGAATTCAGTGCGATATACAAAGCCTGACACATAGATGGCGCGACTGCTATGCAGAGTGCCTTCGGCGCTGCGCAAGTCTTTATATAGTGGGGCCAAAAAAGGCCTTAAATGCTTGCTGAGCGACATGGCCCAATTCAGCAGATGTAGAACGGCTTCCAGTGCTTTGTGAGGCACTTTGCTCTGTCTTGAAGCTCCGCGAGTTGTGCGCGAAGCTTTTCCAGCTTGGCTTGGCGTAACTCGATGGTTTCGGTGTTAGTACACAAACTCCACCCACACCAGACGACTTGAGAAGAAAATTGTGCCTTTTTCCCAGCTTATTGGCGCATGCAACGCGGAAAGCAGTGCTATACTATTAGTTAGAGCAGCGGCCTCTGCGGCGTCTGTTTTACGGAGAAAGGCAAGCAAGTCGTCTACGTAAAGCCATGCTCTGTGCGGATGTTTGCAGAGCAGTGCGTGGGCAGCGTTGCTGCCCAACGCAGAGCCATCATGGCGGTGCAATACGATGCGGGAGCGAGCTCCAGGACGCTTGCTATCCAATTCCAGAGCTGTGCTGAGCCATAGGAAATCTGGGCCCCCATCCGTGGCACGGAAAGGCTGCATATAATGCGATGCAGTGTGGCAAGCCATTGCAAAGGCCAACACGTCTGCGCAGTGCGGCCTGTGATTCCTGCGAGCGTGACTGCGAAGGGCTGCCCTTGCGATGTTGTTTTAGTAGCATATAACAGATGCCGTGCAATGCTGTGGTGGTCAGGGAGAGTGATGCATAATCAATGCGCTGCAAATCTCCAAAGCGAAGGCTGGCACGCGTGGCTATACAAGTGCGGCTCCCAGCACCACAACGGCGCTAAGCGGTGCGTTAGAATCGCACACGCATGCTTCCCATGCTACGATGGCCCAAGGAATAGGCAATGCTTCTTTGCCGTCCTGTGAACTGCTGCGCGTTGCATATGCGTTGATCACTGTGCATAAGGGAGCCGAGGGCCTCCCATTGGGCGTGTTTGTAAAACCACCGAAGTGATTTTCTTGCCGAGGTGGCACTTATGCGATGTATTTCGATGTCTTCGCAGCGATCCTTTGGCTTCAGCAAGAAAGTCCAGCAGGCATGCTTGCGTGACCGAAACAAAAGCCACGTTGCAGCTTTCCAGGAACTGCAAGAGTTGATGTGCTACGCGTAGGTAACGCTCCAGGGTGCTTGGTGCGTATTTGCGGATCACTGCGAGCATGTGTTGCTGTGCAGCGCGAGGCGCTGGTGCGGGAGTCCGGGATGCGAGTCCCAAGCATCTGGGTGTTGGAGGTGTGCCTGGCGGTGCGAGACCTCCCAAAGGACGGACCGGGTTTCAGCGGGCACGTTTGGGGACGATGCAATGGCAGCAGGAGAGATCGCCAGATCAGCGACTGTGGGCAAGGCGCCACGCGATGATGCTTTAGTTCGGACCGACGGACGCGGTTGCATGGGCGAAGCAGGTGCTTTGCTGGATGCTGCAAGAGTGCGAAGCGACGCCCCTGTGGTGGGGGGGTGACAACAAAATGCAGTCGGATTCCTCAGCAGAAGAAACCGAGATACACGGCGAGTCCAGCTGCGTAGGGTCTAGCTGCGAATCTTCTAAGTTATATAATCCAGCGTTGCAGGCAGCCGTGCAGGGCTGTCACGGTGCGATGTTGGAGCTTCCAGGCCATCAGGCAATGCCTCTCCGAAGGAGGTAGGAACTGAGCTGCCACTGGAAGTGGCATTGCGTTTTGCATTTTGGGCGGCCCAGCGACGCCTCATGGCTAAAGAATTTGAGCATAAATGGCTGCGAACGCAAGGACACAGGGATCTCGAGCCATCGATAGCTGCAGTTATAGCAACTAAGTTATGACATGAACTCGGAGTGCAGCGCAATCTGCGGTGCTTTCAACTCAAACTTGCACGGACTGCATACGAAGCAGTGCAATGCAGACGCAAAGCAGAAGTCCTGAGTGAAGTCGATGACGAGGGCGATGTTGTACCTGACAGGTGCAGGGCGCTAGACTGTGAAAGCTATGCTTGAGCACGCGGTGCGAAAGAGAAGAGAGGCCTTCTGGTACATTCCACCGAAGGACCTGGGCAGTGCAGAGCGGCACTGAAGGTTGTATGCGAAAAACAGCAAGGGCCGGGCGCTGCCCGTGAAAGCACCTGCGTAACCGCTGAGCGGTGCGATGCGGCAGAAACCGTAGGAGAGGCTCCCGGCAGGGGCAGTGCGATGCCCCATATCAAACAGCGACCTCAGTACACAATGCTGTGCACTGATAGGAACGAAAGGGTAAAGCAACCCTGAGGCATCGGCTCCGTCGACAAGCGTCTGAGGAGCAAAGTGGCAATGCAGCCTAGGCATAGACAAAGATGCGGTCTATGGAATAGACAGCACCAGAGACCAGCGAGGCTCAGGGGATGCTCGTTCATGCCAGGCAGGGGCTGACACAAGTACAGTTGGGCGTAACTGGAGCGTAAGCAAGGACGGAGCACTGCGGCGCCCTGCCCTGCTGAAGCCAAGTACTTGATCACAAGTTGGGGCAGAGGCAACAAGCAACAGATGAAGGTGCAAACGACGACAAAAGACCTCGAAACTGTTCTGCAGTGCGATGCTATCATGAGATGAACTCGACAATGCAGTGCGTGCTAGAGCCAGGATCAAAATCCAAGGGCGACTAAAGCAAGTCGGCCGTTCACAGTGTGCAATGCGTCGCGGCGCTGTGCGTTGCGGACTCGTGCCACGTGCTGGGCTCGCACAGCACGCAGCGACGAGTGCGTAAGCGCCATTGCCATGCGATGCCAAACGGTGCGGAGCTCGATGGCGATGCCTCGTGCTGGGGTTCCTGGAGGGAAACCTCCCTTCCCGGGAAAAATGCAATGCTGTGCTGTGCGTCTTGCCAATGCCATGTCCAGGCAGCGAAGGCAAACTTCATAAACCGGTACTTGAGTACATCGAAGCGAGAGCTGGGCAGTGCATGCAAGGCCGTGCGCCAGGCCGTGAAGCAACGGCGCACAAGAACAAGCCTAGCGCCTAGCTGTGCCACACCACATCCAGATGAGACCCAATGCGTGGTCCATGGCAGTGCGGTGCAGGAAAAACAGAATGCTGTGCTGTGCTATCCAAGCATGTCACCCAACATGTTCCGTTGAATGATGTAGCGGTCTGAAGGCGAAAGAATCCAAAGCGTGTCAGTGCGGCGGCGCAAGGCACTGCATACTCGGGCACAAGCCGTGCGAGAAGGCCAATCCAAAGCTCTTAGAACCAAAAAGGCAGTGCGTGGCGATGCAAAAATTTCAGAGAACAGTGCGGTTGGTACACCCAGCAGCGCAGGATCGAAGGCATATACACTGCATAGGCTAGGCCCAAGGCTGTACTTTTTCAATCGTGCTTCCACTAGAGCTGCCTTGCGAGGCGGCGCACTGGATGACCATGCGGGAAGAGCATCTTCCGGCTCTGCAATGCCGTGCTTCTTGTTTCTTTCCCGGCGCGACATGCCAAAAGATGGTTTGTACTTCCTGAAGGAAACGGCTGTTCCATGCAATGCGTGACGGGCAGATGGACATCAAAATCGTGCTATGCAATGCTAATCTAGCTCATGCAAGAAATTGGCAGGCAAGTCGGTTGATTCGGGGCTACCTTCCACCGTTGCCACACGGCGCTCGAGGCTGCACAAATAAGCCCACAAGCCTTGCACACTAGCGAGGCGGTCGATGCGCTCATGTATGCGCGTGTCAGATTCAATGCCATCAGAAGCCAACTCTTGGATGGCTCGCACGAGCTGTGCAGGCGTTGCGGGGCGATCTGAGGCCGAGGCTTCCATGGCGACGCGAGGCCTAACAAGAAAACCACCTCGAGAAAGCACAAGCGAAGCCAAGCAAAGCTCTAAAAAAAGAAGTTGTGTGCAAAGCGATGCTGTTCAATACATGTGCTTGCGGTAAGCTGTGAGCCTGCGGCGCGGTGCAGAGCTTTGCTACAGCTTACTTAGAAAACACAGTTGAACAGAAAAGAACAACACACAACTAGCGTGGTAACTCAAGACAAGTTACTTAACCCTAAATCTTTATAGAACCTTTACAGCAGGAACCGGTCAAGGAACCCAAAACCCTAAACCCTTATAAAGAAGCCCAGTTTCCAGCTATCAGCGGCGTTCTTGCTATTGAAAACCGTGAAGCGATGCATCCAGTCCTCATCTTCTGGGCTAAGGGTTTCGGATCTAGGGTTTAGGTTTTAGGGTTTAGGGTTTAGGTTTTAGGGTTTAGGGTTTAGGGTTCAGGGTTTAGGGTTTAGGGTTCAAGGTTTGGGGCTCGAAGCTTTTGGAGCTAAAAAACTGGACGCAACATCCCTCCGATGCCAAGGAGCCTTCCAGTATCCCACGTCCAGCCCACAAATCTTCCCTTGGAAGACCTTCTCTGGCATCTCTTCCCCGCCGGTGCCGTGCTCTGGCAAGGGGACAGAGCTTTGACCGACGAAGTTCAGCTGGTCGATCTGATCCCCGCGGCGCCCGCCGATCGAGTGAATAGGGCCGCGATCCTTGCTTTCATTGCTTGCATAGACCCATTTCTCTCGACCGTGGTGGCTCAAGTCCATCGAGTTGTTGCCAGTAAGCCATCCAGACAACGTTGGCAGCTGAATGTACACCGGCAGTGGATCAGGTATCAATTTGCTGGTCTCTTCTCCGGGGATCAAACGACGGATGTAAGGATAAGTTGAGATCATCGGGACGAACTCTTCGATGAACATTTGCTGCATGTGGCGTTCCTTAACCTGCTCCTTAAACCTGTCCGTGAGTATACCATAGGGCCAATCATCACCATCGGCGTCCTCTGTCTTCCATGTCTGCTCGACGCCTGCAAATGTATAACTGAGGGCTTATGGTCTAGGGCTTAATGAAGAAATCTCAGACACAACAAACGAAATACCACTCCTCCTGCTGCTGCTAACACCACCAGAGAGCCTACAGTAGCAGCAGCAACAATGGCATAGTCGTACAAGTACTGACACCACTTGCGGTGAAAATTTAGGTAGCAAGGAGTAGAGAATTGGAGCAACAGGACCAAGAACCACTGATACTCCTCTCTACATCTGCAGGAGATCTATGATAAGGATTGAGAACTACAGCACGAGCCCGTTTCAGAATCGTTGCCGTACTGACTGCGAATCCGTCTATACGACTGCACTGGCTCTAGAAGCTTTCGCTCTTAGTTCGACCACACTGTGCTTTTGTCAGGGCGCACCCAAGCCTGTGAGGTTGTCAATCAACGTTATAGAAGCCTGGTAGGAGTGGATGCGTCGGCGTCCAGGCGAAGTGGAGCGATGACTCCACTTCTTGATTTCGAGTCGGTCTTTTCGCCACTTCTTCCAGGCATCCATGATTTTTTTGGCTGTCACATCGAGAAGTGTCATCTGATCCTCTGCCCACAAGCTTCACTTGAAATGACTACAACGGAAACATTACAAATATTTCCACACCCTGAAACAGAAATTGGAAACCCCCAAAACTTGAAGTTAAACTATCCCTCAAACACTAAAACCCTAAACCCTAAACCGCTCTAATGACTCAAAAACGATGTTCTGCCAAAAAAAGTCTAACTCTCCAAGAACCCAGAGGTTTTATGTCAACCCCCATAGATAACCATATGAAGCCCGTATGGAACCCCATAGAACCCTTTGAAACCCGTGCTATGCAAGCAGTAGATCCCAAACAAAAAGGAAAGAGCACCGAACAGTTCTACTTAGGCTTGCACTGCTCTAGCACTGTAGACTCTCTCTCTTTTTTGAACGTGTTGCATCTGTTTGGCTTCGCGGCTAGCCGAAAGGGGGCCTGGGCTTCGAGGCTGGGCCGCAGGCAAAAGTCCCCCCCGACTAGACTTTTTGAAAACGGTAGTGAACCAAGTGTAGGCTGGCCACGAACTGAGCTCCAAAGAGAGCTGTGAAGGCCGTAGGCATGTTCTCAGATGCTGCGAGCCTGGGCAAGATAGGCGAAACAGGCCGAGCAGAGGCTGCCTGGGCTCCGGCAACTATGAGAGTCCGACAGGCAGGCGGGCCTAGGCGTGAAACGAAGCTGGTAAAAAAGTCCTGTCAAACTGGGCGTAGACAAAGTCCAAGGGGTTGAGGCGCTAGGGTTCGACCGAACTGTAGGCAAGACTTAGATAAGGCAGGCACCTGAGGCAGGTGCAGCGGGCTCAACTTTGTGAGTTGGGCTGTGCGAGCTGGGCTAGCGGGCCCTAGGCGAGTCCGTCGTCTCGGCGAAGGCAAGACCTGAGTGTGGTGCAAAAGCTCAAGTTTGTGAGCTATGCCCTTGAGCCCAAGGCGGCTGGCTCGTCGACCTGAGTAGGCGTTGGGAGTCTGGGCAGTGGGGTGGCTAGGGCCTGTTGCGAGGCTACTAACAGCTTGCGCAGCTTGACCGCGTGCACTCCCATGGCGCGGATCCGAAGCTCCCATCTCGCCTAAGTCGGACTCAGACAAGGCGGAAACAACGGAGTCCAGATTAGAGAGCTCTGGATAGGCATAGGCGAAGTCGCCCACCGATTCCAGCCCCTTGAGGGCTAGGGCTGAAGACAACACCTCATGTACTGAATATTCCTTCAGGAACTTGTTCAGCTCTGAGGCGGAGTCCGAAGCCATGGCCGACGGAAAAACGTTGATCGTGATTGCAGGATCAGCAAAGCTATCACAAACGGCTGCGGTACAACACCATATAGGCACAAGAAGGCGTTGGCAGCAGTGACTCTGTCCCTGCTGGCTGGCATCTTTCTTAGGGCAATGCGTCCAGTAGGAGAGAGCACGCTTTGCGCTTGCAGAAAAACGTGGGGTCTGGGTCAGCTGGTCTGAAAGAGGCGAACGTCTTGGACGTGCCACAGGCTGCCTTGGACTCTCGCTCTCGACATGCATGGACGCAACCCCAAGGTCCGTTGCGGAATAAGCTAAAAGCAACGGATGTTGTGGCTGTTTTGGGCTCACCTGTGTCCGAATCGGATGAGCTGTCCCCCTGATTGGCAAATTGTGCGACTAGGTGGGCTTCGTAGTCACCCGCAGGGGATGTCTTTCCGGGTTTTGTACGAGAGGCGGTCGTGAGCCAGTTCGTCCGACTTCTCTAGTTCCACCTCCCTCCCATAAAGAAAGCGAGAGACTTCTGGTCCGAAAGAGCCTAGCGGCTAGAGGGAACGTTGTGGGCGGAGGTGTCCTGTCCACCGAAAATTTCGGTTTTGAAAAAGGTGGCTCAAGGGTCGGCGGCTGACCTCCACGGGCGATAGGCCGAGCTGGCCTCCAACCGTCTGCACACGCATGGCAGATCTGTCCCTGACAATTGTACACTGTGTAGTCTGGCTCTTATGGTGACCTTGATGTTGGCGAGCGAGTTCAGCTGCTCTGACTTGGGCTCCTGCAGCTAATAGGCAGACTTTGAAGCTGTGCAGTGTGAAGGCTTGGGCTTCCTCGTTGGAGATTGGAGGGATCTTGCCATGAAATGGTCGAAAGGAATCGCATGGCTCCCAGTGCCTGGCTGTAGGACATAGCCTGTGATCGGCGGAGTCCTCCAGTTCTCGTCTACAGTGACGAAGCTAGTCTCTTTGGGTCTTTGAGCGGAGGCGGGACTCTTGGGTCTGACCCTCACTGATTCCTGAGAGGCGGCTGCGCTTCTCGCGGAGGGTCCCAATGCATACGAGGCCTGCCGACCAAAACGGAACTGGCCTTCGGAAAAAGAGCCTGGGCACTGTTGAGGTGGGCATCAGGAGAAATTCGGGCATGGGCTCTCGCACATCTTCGACTTGAGTTGAAAGCGAAGTGATGTCAGCAACCTCGGCCGTCTGCTCCTGCTTCGGGCCTGAAAGCGCTTCGCCGCTGGACGCCCTGAGTCGTGTCCTCGTCGATGAGTGGAGCGCTGTCCGGAGGCTGGTCTGGGCTGCTGCTTCCCGTCAGCAATGGGGTTACCGTGGAAGGCAGATTGCTGTCCTCCACTGCGAGGGGATCCTCGAAGGACAGGATTTCGCTCCATGACGCTGGCAGGCTACTTGGCAGGCTACTCTCGATTCTACCCTCCTCGCCTCCTCGCCGAGGCGTCAGCTGAGGCGGAAACGTGCACGGCGGCTGGACTGATGCTTGGTTCCTAAGCTTGTTGAATTGCAAAGCGGAAAATGCAGTCGAAAAGACAATAACTTGTCTCGCGGGGCGTGAATGTCGCGGACGGCAATATATAAAGGTAGCGATCCAGCAAGCCGGGATTAAGATTGTGGCGTGTATGCAAGCTACACAACACAAAAGAAGGGTTTATCGCGGATCGGTTACTCCATCTTGATTGCGATGAAATCGGAGTTGCTGCATTGCCAGCGAAGTTCGTAGAGCTTCCCTTTTTCTGGTTTTATGGGAATACTCAGCCACCTCTAAGAGGGGCTGTGCACCAGCCTCAGATGCATGGTCGATGTCATCATCATCTGCACCAAGCAGAGGTTCCTCAGGAGGGAGGAAGCCGCTGGCTGTTGCATCTTTGAGTGCCAACGGCGCATCAACTGTTGGCTCCATTGTAATGTCGCTAGCATCTGCAATGCTTTCTGCAGACATAGGCTCATCGCCTTCAGTGGGGCTGGATCAATGGCATCCGGAGCAGGGGTGATTGTAATGTTACCATCCTGGCCTCCCTCGCCCTCCCTCAGAGAGGCCTGCAACCGTCCTTGCTGACCTGATCACGGTCGCTTTTGCAGCAGACAAAAGCCTGTTCGGGTCAGTACGGTAAGGGATGGCTGCAATGAGTTCATCAAAGGTTGCAGTAGAACCAGAGGCTGGATGAAGCGCTGATGCTGGGCGGCGACGCGGCTTGGCTTTGGCTTGTGAGCCACGTTTGGGGTCCAACGCCTGATTTTTGGCGCAAACCCAGTTGCGAATGTGTGCGGGGATTTCAAACGAAGCCGTTCCTGTAACTTCGACCTCCGGGGAAGCAGTGCATCGTCTGGGCATCGTTCTGCTGCCTCACGGATCTCCCCCTTCTTTTGAAGGCGGCGGGAGGTCTGAGAGCGCAGAGGGTTTTGCTGAAAATGGACGGCATCAAATATTCGCGCTCTGAGGTGGGGTCATAAGGGAACTCGCTCACCAAACGATCGAGACACCTTTCTGGAAGTTTGCTGAAGGCGTGCTCCACACTGATCAGCCGCACACGCTGCGCCAAGACGTAAGCCAAAAGCGACCTGTGTGTGCTGTCTTCTCTGAAGTGGTAGCAGTCGTACTCCAGAATAGATCCCTCACACAAGTCAATCCCACTCTCGAAGATGTTGTCTGGGTCCTCAGTGATCGAGGTGAGGCCTTTGTCCTTTAGACTAGACCCCTGCACAAAACAGTTCTGATCATCAAGCTGGGGCGGCCCCTTGTCCAAACTCGTCGAAATCGCAAGAGGAAAAACAAGATCCCCAATAGGAAGTTCCATGTGCTTCACCCTTACTACTTTGAGGTCGTCGTTCTCTATGGCATCACGGCTGCCCTTTAAGGGACCTACAAGGTACTCCTGCCTCCAAACGAAGCCGGGTTGCTCGTGACACCCTACGGCTACACCGTCCTCACCTTTGGGGGGCGAACTTCGAAGCGTCCGTGACATTCTGCCTCGGGTTGTTTCAGAACAACACTTGTGAACCAAACGGGATCAACTTCCCAGAAAGGTCCTCCTCAAACCTTTCGATCCAAGGAACCTTTTCTGCGTCCATTCGTTTGGACAGCTTGACAGCCATGGCGTGATGCTGCGCTGCGAGTGGTCAGAACTCGTCAGGCGACCCTGACTGCAACAGGTTTGACCGAGCGCCTTCAAGGATCGTCCTAATCTCTTTCTCGACCATGCCCCTCGATTCGTCGGCGTAAGCTCTTGATGTGTTGCGGCGTACTTTGTACTTGGAGGTCGAATCCTCAAGTTCAGGCACGAAAGAAATGAAGTAGGCCTCACACACCTGTTCACCTTCCTTTGTGCACGACGGGTAAACATACCGAAAGTTCGTGAACACATCTTTCACAACAAGTGCAACCCCAAAGTCGCGGAGATCCTTAGTGATGATATGATCAACCGTGACATGATCTCCAAACTTCTTCGAGGCGATGGTTGAGGATCCCCCTCGCTTCCTGGCATGTGGTGCTAACATCTTGGCCCTTTGGCACACCTTTCAGAAGGGGTTCTTGGGTCGAATGTGTGAACAAACTTCCGGCCTGCAGCTTAAGCTGGGCTGAACGCTTTTCATCAGTTGGCTCAGGCTCAGCATCAGCATCACTATCCGGCTCAACTTCGGGATCGTCTTTGGGTCTTTTAAAGATGGTTACCAACAAAACGGCAGGATCCGGAAGTCGCGCGACTGGGTTCTCCAAAGTCCGGATGTCAAGGTCCTTCTCAAGTTCAACCCACATCTTTCCGAATACCCAAGTCGTCCGAATGACATGTTTCCGAAGGCTTGTCGCCGGGATCCGAAAGGACTTTGGTTTGTAGCCCACAATAACTTGTGGAAGCTCTGGGTGCCAAACCCATCCTGTCTTCATAATGAACTTTGGCTCAATCTTAAAAGGCATGGCCTGTTTTGGCATCCAATGCTTGGGTCGAGATAGAACCGGCACTCTGCCTCGGAGCTTGCAGTAGAGCTTCATTCTTTCAGGTGTGACAAAGCACGGTGCCTTAACCGAATACCAGTGGAAATCAAACCCTTCATTCATGCATCGCCGTCCCACCGAGCATACTGGTGGGGTGGCTTCCAGAACATAGCATTCCAAAGTGTGAGAACCTCAAGCTTCACAGACTTGTTGCCCTGAACAGGACCATTGGCTGCGATCAACGATACAGGACGCGATGATCTTTCTACCGGGGTATCGGGGACGCCAATGCCCAGCGTTAGGTTTGATCACGAGGCCCAGATGATCGCAATCGAACACGAGGGCAAGGGTAGAAAGCATTGTTAGCTCCCCAGGGCGTGCGCACAAACCTTTGCTACAGCCCGGGATTGCCCGAGCCCGGATTCGCAGGACTTGAAGCGTTCTGAAGCGTTCTATCTTGTGGGCACAACAGTTTAATCCCGTTGTTCAGTGTATGTCCCATGGTATCAAAGCCGATTGTGACTACGAATGCGAAGTAGAGGGCTTCGTGCGCGAATGCTGTGAAAGGATCGTACGACCTGCCTGTGCTGGTTTGGTGCCAGGGCTAGAGTTTCCGGCCGACACGGGTAGTGAGGAAGACTTAATTGGCAAGTCAGACTGCGAAGCTCATTTCAAGTAAAAGAATGTCTTACCGACCCATACATCATCCGGCTTCTCGGGGGTACCCTGCCTCCAGTCATACTGCTTGTTGGAAACAAACGGGTGAACCGGAAGAACCCTTTCGACTTTCACGTGACCCCTCAACCTCTTTGTGTTAATCGGGCACCAGTTGTCCGGGACATACCAACCCTTGCGATAGGACTTGTGCCTTATCAGCTTGCCACTCAGGAAGCCGAGCTCCCACGAACCCTCCAAATTGTTTTACGCAATGCCGCTGCCGCGAAGGCACAAGCTGCTGGCTTGCCAGGTTTCCCTTAGATTTTGCTCCTTCCCCACGAGGCCCCGGCAAGTTCCTTACAAGAAGTCATAGCATACTCCTTTCGGGCGTGGGGATCGCGACTTGCTGGGACTTGGTCATCTACTTCGTCCTGATGTGTGGCTTGTTCCTGACTGCTCTGTGCAGACCTTTGCTCCTGCAGTTGTGAATCAAGCGCGCCTGGAATGTGTGTTTGTTGGGCTTTATCCAGCCCTCTTCTGAGACTTGCGTCGCTTGCTGAGAACCTTTGTTGGGCAAGTGCCAACTGCGTGAGCAACGCCTGTTACCGCTGCGCTTCTCTCACACTTTGAAACAATCTCTTCTTCAATTAGAAGCTACCTTCTCAAGATGGTTTCTTTCGGCTCGTTGCTCAGCGTCGGCAACGCTGCATTCTGCAGCCTGCTCGACGGACTCAAGTGATTGCCTGTGTGCTACCTCCGCTCTCGCTTCCCGTTCCTGAACCTCCAGTCTTACCTGTGCCATATGCGCTTCCAGGGTTGTTGGTGCGTACACATTGTACTGCTGATAAACAACTGGAGCACCACTGCTGAGCAAGTTTAGACTAGGAATATTATCCCTCCGTCCGCCCCTGTACGGCTACCTATGCCTGGAAGCTGCAATGGTGCAGAGCTCGCTTGGCGAATTCGGAATCTCTGTAAGTACCAACTCAGGAGAGCTCATGCACTGGTTGCCAGCACACTTGTAAATACCAGGCCGTAGGCTATATGGCTGATAGCCTATAGATTGGGGAAACCACTGCTCACACGCACTGATTGCATGTACCATTAAGTGATAGACGAACTAAAACATTGCAGTGCAGCTAGACTCTTTTTCCTCTAGAGCACTGACTGCCGCAGTCGTGTACGCAAAGGATGAAAGTTTACACGTGCATATTCTACATCCCTAAAGGATACACACTGTGGCGGGAGGATGAATGGGACCCCAGCACACACACACAGCACGCTGGCGGGACAACTAGTCCCAGCCTCAAATGGTCGGGGCGCGATTTTTGGAGGCGCAAATACGAGTCACAGCCACAATCTGCACGGCACTGTGCCAGGAGCACGATTCGGACTTGCACGAGATTGTCGGCGGGACGACCATGCGAAGTTGGCGGGGGCACGATTTCGAGTCCAGTCAAACTTCGGAAACCTCTTGGACTTGAACGTAAAAACCCCATCATGTTACCACATTGTTCACGGAATAAAACTTCTAAGTGCTCAAACGCCAGCGTGCTACTGGGGAATAAACCCGCAGTTGTGTCAGGCGATGTGAGGCTTTGAGTTTGAAGTTGTAGTTTAAAAGTTTTTCGGGTTTGATGGGTATAGTTCAATCAAAACCATATGGCCGTGGAACCCTGAAACGCGATGTGGCCACTTATATAACCCTTCAAGGAACCTGTGAAGACTCCCATACAGATGGAACCCCGGAACCCTCGAACCCCGAAGCCCTAAACACGCCCTAAACCCTAAACCCTAAACCCGAAACCCTCAAACCCTAAACCCTGAACCCCCAAACCCTAAAATCCTAAAACCCAAAACCCTGAAGCCCAAAGCCCTGGAAACCTTCATTGAAAGAACCCTTAACAGTGCCCTTAATAGGGGCTAGCCCTTGTATACTAACCGTGTAGACCCCTTTAAAGCTATCCCTTCTAAGGTTTGAAGGAACCCTAAACCCTAAACCCTCAAACCCTAAACCCTAAAACCCTAAAACCCTAAACCCTAAAACCCTAACATCCTAAACCCTAAAACCCTCAAACCCTA